TGTAGCTACCATCTGTCACCACACAATGTTGTTATGGTGTTGTTGCCTATATTCCCAATGCTGTACTTTTCATCCCTGTGACTTATTTATTTTATAAACAGACTGGAAGTTTGCGCCTCTTCATCCCCTTCATTTATTTTGCCTATCCCCCCAACCCCCTCCCTTCTGGCAACGACCACTTCGTTCTCTATATTTATGATTCTGTTTCTGGTTTGGGTATGTTTGTTCATTTGTTTTGTTTGCTTGTTTTTACCCAGAAGGATGCTCATAACAACAGGGTCCCTGGCGATAGAGACAAAGAAGTTGATGTGGGAGAGGGCCACAATTTGGGCTTAGGGGTATTATTAGCTAGAGGTGAGCATGTTTTTCATCTGAATATTGATTTTTTAAAAACCCCTACAATTGCTAATATTGCATACAAGGCTGACCCAGAGATAGGAACATGTCATTTGATATTATTTCCATCCACAAAAACAAAGCTAAATATGGGTAGAACTTGAAAATTTGTCAGGGTATAGGCAAAAAGAAAGAAAAAAAGGTCATTTTCCAAACCTTTATAAAAATGTGACTGAACTGAAAGCCCTACAAAAAGCCGCCCACTCCCATGGAACTTCAAAGGGTTCACAGGAGTCCACACGCTGCCATGTAGACAACGCCAAGAGCTGTCACCACAGCCCCAGTACAAAGGAGGAATCTACGCTTCAGGAGGTTAAATGTCACACCCATAGGGAAACGGTGCTGAAAATAGAATCCAAGTTTCTGACTCCCACAGCATCCTTCACCACAGCCTTTCCTGGGCTACTTCCAGAATATCTCCGCTTTTAGTTTACCCGTTGCTGGTACCAGAAAGCACAGATGTGCACAAAAGCACATTTTAAATTGTGAGCATTTGGATTTGTTTTTGTTTATTTGACTCTCCAACATGGGTTCTTAGATCAGTAGTTCTCATTTAGAATCTGGTAATAAAAAGAGCTTCATCTTCTCTGGGTGAGCCAATTTTGAAATTTGGCTGATTCTTGCTACCAATAATGCAGCTGGGGTGAACTTAGAATCTTGAATCCATGCTGCCACTCACTAACTATGCAATGACTTTGTGCAAAATAATTCAATTTTTCTCAAATACAATTTCCTGTTCTATAGGATGGGAATAATAACACTAATCTGGTAAGATGGTTTTCTGATTTGACAGTAATGTTATCTCTCATACGCATTATTGCCAACAGCCTTATATCTGGTCTCCTGACTTCTACTCTTGCCCACGTTTCATCTATTATCAAAAGAGCAGCTAGAGTAGTCCTGTTAAAACATAAGTCCTGTCACCCTTCTGCTTAACACCTGCCCCCATACCTTCTCATCCCCTTGAGAATAGAAACCAAAATTCTTCACTGGCTTGTATTATCTGCCACCTTCTCATTGCCTCTCTGGCCTGACCTGTCACCACTCTTAACCCCGGAGCATGTTGCTCCAACAATTCTGGGCTCCTTGCTATTCCTCACACATACCAGAAATACTCCTTCCTCAGGGTCTTTGCACTTGCTGGTTCCTCTACTTGGAAATTCTTGTCTTGAATGTTTATATGAATCATCCCCTCACCTCCTTTAACCTCACCTCCTTTAAGTTTTTATTCAAAAGTTATCTTCTCAGAGGGGTTTACCCTGGTTCCCCTATCTAAAATTAAAGTCCATTCTCCTCTTAATTCTTCCTCTTTGCTGGTTTACTTTTCTCCTTTGCATCAAATGACATATTCCACATTTACTTCCTTATATCTTTTACTGTCTCTCCCACTAGACTATAAATTCAATGTCAGCATTTTGTTCACTCATTAAATATGTGACTTTGAGGGGGGAAAACCCTCAACTTCTCTGATCTAGAGTTTATTCATCTACCTCCGGAAGAGTTCTGCAGCAATGTTTGGCACAGAGTAGGAGCTTAATAAATGGTTGTTTGAACTGACGATTGACTCTAGAAGAGCTTTCGACATTATGACCATTGAACCATGAAAAAAGAGGAGAAGGAAAAGAAAAAAGGGAAATGTGAGGAAAGGAGAGAAAAGAATCATGCCATAGATGTTCAGATTACAGTGATATGGATAAAAAGAACCAAGCAGCAGGCCTGGGTGGCTCAGTCTGTTGAGCAGCCAACTCTTAATTCGGCACAGGCCGTGGTCTCATGGTTCATGAGATGGAGCCCCACATGGGGCTTTGTGCTGACAGTGCAAAGCCTGCTTGGGATTCTCTCTCCCTCTCTCTCTCTCTCTCTCTCTCTCTCTCAGCCCTTCCCCTGCTTGCATGCACACACACTCTCTCTCTCTCAAAATAAATAAACTTTTAAAAAAAGTTTTTAAAAATACTAAAAAGAAAAGAACCGAGCAGCAAAAGAAAATAGAAAGGGAACCAGTGTATCATCATTGGAAAGCCCAGAAAGAGGGCCCCTGGGTGGCGCAGTCGGTTAAGCGTCCGACTTCAGCCAGGTCCCGATCTCGCGGTCCATGAGTTCGAGCCCCGCGTCAGGCTCTGGGCTGATGGCTCAGAGCCTGGAGCCTGTTTCCGATTCTGTGTCTCTCTCTCTCTCTGCCCCTCCCCCGTTCATGCTCTGTCTCTCTCTGTCCCAAAAATAAATAAACGTTGAAAAAAAAATTAAAAAAAAAAAAAAGAAAAGCCCAGAAAGAAACAAAAAAAGAAGCCCTGGAAGGAAGGGCTGTTCTTCACTGTTCACTCCGTATTTGCAAGATGTAGCTGTGGTTTATCCTGAGCTGGTACAGGCTCTTTCCTGGGAGCCTTGGGAATCTTCCCTTCTTCTGTGAACAAGCAGTTCAGCTGTTCCCTCAAGGTGGTCATGGACTTGAGAGGCCTAAAGAATGCCAGTGACTCTTAAGATCAAATTAACAATCAGACCCATCTATTCTTCATCACCATCTAAACATGTATGTAATGCGAAGTACATACTAAGGTAACCACTTTAGCGCACGGTCTGTTACACTCCTCAGTGAACATATACACAAACACATCTTCTCACCACACAACTAAGAGATTCCCAGTTTTCCCGCAGTGCACGGGGCAGGAAATTCTATACTTTTCTTATTCAGATCCCAACTGATGGACTCTTCTGAAACAAGAAAGAGTCTCCAGGACCCACGCACGGGACGCACTTTAGGGCCTCAGGAGGGCCCCTGTCCCTTGTGGTTCATCCTTTATGATGACTCTCACTCTTTTCTTCTCTGGCACCCCAGCCTTGCAGCAGCCATTTTGGTTATCAGATAGGTTTTGCACTGAGATGCCTTTAAAGGTCTGTTTTGAGGGAAACGGCATGCACTTTTTATCCTTGTTGGGAATTTTATTTAGCTAGAGCCTCTTCATCCCAAGGATTTAAAGCCTGATGGAAACTTTAGCTCATGAATCAAAACAGCCCTCCAGAGCTAAAAGCTAGCTGTATTTGCATAACAATTTAGCAGCTCCAAACAGCAGGGCAAGGTGAGGTGAAATAAATTGCCAAGGTCATGGTTCTCTTGAAGTGGTATTGAAATTCAGAACTGTTGGTCCCCAGCCTTTCTCCCCCGCCCAAGGATGTGTCTCCTACCCTCCTTCTAAAGGATACCAAGGCATAAAATAAATTTACTGTACGCGTGGAAACCACAGTCCTGCCCTTACCCCTCTCTTTTGCTTCTAATTTCAGATGATTCAGATCCTGGAGGAAGAGACCAAATCATAACCCACTGACTCCACTGTATTACCATACAAATGAAAGAACTTACTAGAAACGGTGATCTGGATGGGCTCTTGGTCTAAACTAGAAACTACTGTTGACTGTGCTTGAAACTCTAAAAGTATTTTGAATCTCTTTAATTTCTGGATCAAATCATAGCTTCCAATTCACTTTTTAATTCCGAGAACCCCAAAACGTAGGGAACCCTTCAAAACCGCAAAGGCCCACGTGCCCGAGAGAAGGAAGCGGAGATTAAATGTGTAAAGGATTCTGGCTTTCGTGCCCTTACTAGAAAAATCTTTAAAGCGACACATCGAAGAGAAGAAGCTCGTTCAAGTTGCAGCTTCTCAGAACCTATCCCAGCGAACCACTGGATTTCGGATTCCTCAGGCACAACTCCGAATTCGGAATTCTCCACGGCTCCGAGACCTCGCCCTCTGGGGTCGCAAGGAATTTCGCAAACCGAGACGCGTCGCGGTTGCGGGGAGCGGACTTTCCGGGGGCGCGGGAAGCGCCACCCGGGAATCTCCCCATCAGCGGGCGTTTGGCGCAGCCAAGCGACAGGCTGGCGCCAGGGCTCAGCAACAGGGAGGCGCCGGCTGAGGCGGGGAGAACTTTGCGCTCCGAGCAGAACCACCCTTTGCTGGCCAGTCGCGTCGCTCCGCCGAGGAAGCAGGCGGCGGCGGCCACTGGGCGGAAAGGGGGAGCGGAGCAAGGAAGGGAGGAAGTAGCGAGACAGGAAGAAAGATGAAGCCAGCGCTGGGGGGCCCCGCCGGAGGGTGGCCGACGGCGGAGCAAGGACGATTTGGCTTGTTTTTCGCACCCCGGGCGTGAACGCCTTCTCCTGAGCGACCCCAAGGAAATAAGGGGGTCTCGCCCGGGCAGAAAAGGGAAAGAAAAGAATCCAAGTGAGCGCATCGCCTCCTGAGTCGCGTTGGCCCCTAGGAACTCGGGCCGCCTCTCAGCCCAACCTCCCCGCGTGGCCGGACGCAGTGCCCGAGCCGCCCTGCAGATGGGGCGGGCAGAGAACGGGCGTCCAAGCCGCGGGTGACCGGCGCCGGCCCGCCCGCCTGCCTGGCTCCGCGCAGGGACCGGGCGGGCGGAGGATGCGCGGCGGAGGGACCTGGGCGCGCTAGGCTCCAACTTGGATGGCCCCGGGACCGCTTCGGCTCCTGGGAGCGCTTCGCCGCGAGGAGTGAGCCGCCGGCGGGACCTGGGGGCGGAGACGTGAGGCAGCGGCTGCAGGGGGGCGAGCCGGGCGCACGAGGGGGCGCGCTTTCTCCCTGCGGGTCTCAGTAATGAGGAGACTGAGTTTGTGGTGGCTGCTGAGCAGGGTCTGTCTGCTGCTGCCGCCGCCCTGCGCTCTGGTGCTGGCCGGGGTGCCCGGATCCTCCTCGCACCCGCAGCCCTGCCAGATCCTCAAGCGCATCGGGCACGCGGTGAGGGTGGGCGCGGTGCACTTGCAGCCCTGGACCACGGCCCCCCGCGCCGCCAGCCGCGCTCTGGACGGCAGCCGAGCAGGCGCCCAGCGGGATGAGCCCGAGCCAGGGACTTGGCGACCCCCGGCGCCCTCGCCGGGCGCACGCTGGTTGGGGAGCGCCCTGCACGGCCGGGGCCCGCCGCGCGCCCGGAAGCCGGGGGAGGGCGCCGCGGCGGAGACCCTGTGGCCTCGGGACGCCCTCCTCTTCGCCGTGGACAACCTGAACCGCGTGGAAGGGCTGCTGCCCTACAACCTGTCTTTGGAAGTAGTGATGGCCATCGAAGCGGGCCTGGGCGATCTGCCGCTCTTGCCCTTCTCCTCCCCAAGCTCGCCGTGGAGCAGTGACCCTTTCTCCTTTCTGCAGAGCGTGTGCCACACCGTGGTCGTGCAAGGGGTGTCGGCGCTGCTCGCCTTCCCCCAGAGCCAGGGCGAGATGATGGAGCTCGACTTGGTCAGCTCTGTCCTACACATTCCAGTGATCAGCATCGTGCGCCACGAGTTTCCGCGGGAGAGTCAGGTGAGAGGAGTGGGGACGCCGTTTGGGGGCCGGGACCTTGTGGAGGGGAGGGGGGACTTGGGGCTTTACAACTTTGATAATGTTATAGGGGTCGGACCATATCCGTAGATGGTTGGTAGAAGGACCTCAGTAAAAGTAAAATAAGACAGTTTAAGTGCGGATGGAAAGAAAATGAGAGGTAGGGGCAGGAGATGGAAGAAAGGAAGTGGGGGGAATAAGCGAAAAAAATCCTCCTGTTTTGACCAGCTGAGCAACCCTAGTGGATGCTGGAGGGAAGTTAGAACTCAAAGTTCTGGATCGTGGAGAGCAATAGAGGTTCTAAAGACTAGCGCGGGGGTGGGGGGTGGGGTGGGGATGGAAGATCTCAGGCAAAGCGAGAGCCTTTCATTCCCTAGAGGAATTGAGAGCACGTGGCGGGAAACGCAGCATCTGCTCCGATTCCTGTAGAAGGTGTGCCTGAGGCTTGGGCGGGGGTGGAAGGAAGAAAACATCCCTCAGAATTGCTTTGAGTCAGTCAATAGAAAATCTGCAACTACTACGGAAGCAAGCCGTAAAGATGTGTGGTTAATTAGGCTTAGGCATTGGAATGCATTAGAAATATCTGAATGGATGGGAGGAACGCATTTGGGATTGGTGGTTTTTGGTTGGTTTGTTTGTTTTCCCCTATCTTCTTTCTGTGTGATGTGGGCTCAGAGACTGGTTGTATGCAGTTGCTGTGTTGAGCCCATTTCTGTCTCAATTATCTAGTAATAATAAAAAATCTAATGATTCCATTTCTTAGGGGTTAAAAAATTGAATGTATTTTCAAGAAAAGAAGCTATTTGTGAACTTACTGTTGAAGATAGTGATATTGAGGACCTGAGGGCAGAGTCCTTTCAGCAATAGGAGTTTTCTGCATTTTGCTCATTATTTTTATGAAAATATCAAGCTAAATTTAGCCTTGCACAAAGTATTTATGAAACAAGTAGGTAATTGTTGTTGGCCTCATGTTAAAGATTGAGAAACTAAGTAAAGTTTTGGTCAGTGTGTTGATAAAAGAGTTCAGACACTGGAGAATTTCTGACTATATATCATTTTACTATCCCTTTGGCTGAAAAAAAAATTTCTAATCTCTCTTCCTCCACTTTTGATATATATATACAGAGATAAAAGCTCAAAAGAGTAAGGCCAAATACAAGTGAAAAGTTTGATAGAATCTATGCATAAAATATCAAGAGAGCACTAAAGGTTTCTTTTTCTAGAAAAATGGATCTTACATTTTTAATCTTAGGAAGGCCGGGCACCCGTTACTTTCAGCAGTTGCCCAGAATATTGCTATTTAGTGCTGAACTATAGAGATTTGATCTGCAGAGTGCAGGCTAATTAACTTTTATCTAAAACATTTCCGTCACCTGAATCTGAATGACTATAGGCAGCAGATGGGAAGGCATGGAAAACACAGGTGCACCAGGCTGCCAATGGCCAAAGTGTTATAAACATGAAGTTGCATCCATAGGGTGCATCATTATTAATATATATGCAGAATCAGATTGAACGAAATGCGAGAGTCAGCATCGCTTGCTTCTCATCATTGCTTCTTTATTAATACTTCATAAGTTGCCAATAGTGTTCAGTCTCCAGACTCCATTCCATTTGTAGATTGTTTGGCAAATCATAAATAGCAAGAATTTTCCCCAAATTAGTGGTTGTCAGTTAGGAAGGAGATTGTGTTCTATGATGGGTTTGTGCAGATATAGCACAGTACAAGGGGACCAGAGAAACCATGAAGCAGCGTCTAGAATTGGACAACTTCAAAGCTTTAGGACTACTGTGGGAACAGTCTTCCAGAGACAACCCTTACAAGCTGACAATAAAATGAACACTCTGCCAAGCACATTTACTTCTGTATTTCAAATCAGAAATGTATTTTAAATCACATTTGTCACTGTTATTTTCATGGTACACATCTTGAAAGGGAGAGATTATTCTATTAACTCAGATCTTGTTTGCCCAAGTGACGTTTTCTTTCATTTGTCTTTGTATTTTATATTCAAACATATCTAACTTGTCTTGCTTTTAGTATATCATTTAAATGTCATTCTACAATGTTCTATATTAAGAATGTCCAACTCAATGCCAAGTCACTATAATATGTAATTTTAGGAGAGGACCATAATCTGCTTTCAGCAAAAATAACTGATCTTTCTTTCCCTTGCTTCTCCTAAAAAGTAGACCCATACACACACTTGTGTGTGATTTAAACACACACACACAAGACAACTTTCAAAATATAAAACAATGTCAGAGTCATTTTAGGCATTAAATAAAATGGACTTAATTTAGCCACCACTCTCAGTGAATTCTGCCCAGTGACCCAATACATTGATTGGGCCAGTGACTGAATAAAGGATGCTAGCAGAAAGTGGAATTGTCTACACAAACAAGTAGAATAAAATTGTGTCTCTTATTCAGACAAGTCAAAATTGCTTGGAGCAGTCGCAGCAATATTTCTCTCACTTTCTTTTGTACTGCTAGTTTCCTTCATATGAAACCTTTAATTAATAAATAATAGTTTTGATAGTATTCTACCACAGCTCATGAATGGAAAGAGATACCCCTGAAATGATTAAAACCCTGAGAAAAGCATAATAGTTTTATTTCAATTAACTATTTATGGAAACAAACACATTAGATCATCAGCTTGTAAGGAACCAACTTTACTCAGTGTGGGAAATCCATTATGAGTAAGATAATAAACTAGCCACTTTGGAAGCAATATGTATCATCACCGCATAAATAAAAACTTCAGACAGCATTACACATAGGATAGGGTCAAAGCACGTTTCCATCCAAAAAATTGACTTTACTACACACTCAAATCTCCACTTGAGGCTAATTCCTTATATTAAAATGATAATTTCTTCTAAATTCTGTTCCCATGACCTTCAAATAATGATGTTGCATATGGATCCAGTTACGTTTACATTTAAGTTATATATAAAGTTCCTATAATTGTTCTTTCTTTCTCTTCATCCCCAAACTACTTTTTCTTTTAGGGTTTTTGTATAGTTTCTCTAAAGTTAACTTCTTGAAATTCACCTGCTCAGGTAGTGACAGATACATATTTCTTTCTAAAATGTTTATCTCCTGTTAATTCCATATTGGTTCCCTTAGGTAGGGTTAATGGAGTGATATAATTTGCTTAGATACAAACTCTCATGCAATTAAAAAGTGACTGGGTCACTATTTTCAACTCCAGTTGAACATACCAACTGCAGTTTGCCTGTCTCATGAGTCATACATGCTGTAATCAGTCATATATGCTGTTTAGTCCCATGGAAATATAAGTATTTCAGATGTTCCCCTTTCTCTGACAACACAGTGCTAAGTACAGAAGCTTATTTATTAGAATTTGGCTAGCATAGTGCCACTTTTGTATGATACAGGGACCAGAACAATGATACCACTAAGGTGAAGGTTTTCCCTCTATCTGAAAGTATACTTTACTATCTGAAAGTAAAACATTCCTATGAAACCTTTTGTAAGCCAAAATGGCATAAAGTGAAGAGTATTCTCCACTTTCCAAAAGTTCATGTAATGTCACTTTGCTTTAAGGAAAGACCTACATTAGCACCTGTTTTCCATAATGGAAAAAAAATCAGAAGAGGATTTTCACTTTTATGAAAACAAAGTGGCATAATGTAGAGTTTCAGAAAGTGAGAGATACCTATAGTGCCCCTTTACCCAAGGTTTTGCTTTCCACTGTCAATCGTGGTCTGGAAGCAGATCTCTCCTCCCCTGACTTAGTGTCAAAAGGTCAATAGTAGCCTCACTGCATCACAACGCCTATGTCTTTCTCCTCACTTCATATTATTACATAGGCATTTTATCATTTCACATCATCACAAGAAAAAAGTGAATTTAGTACAATAAGATGTTTTGAGAGAGAGACCACATTCACATTACTTTTATTATAGCATACTGTTATAATTGTTTTATTATTAGCTATTGTTAATCTCTTAATGTGCCTAATTTATAAATTAAATTTTATCATAGGTATGTATGGACAGAAAAAAACCACAGTATTCGTAGTATAGGTACTATCCCTGGTTTCAGATATTCACTGGGGCTCTTGGAATGTATGCCCCACAGATAAGGGAGGGGTACTACTATATATAACTTAGGTGCATTATTAGGGGACAAGTAAAGGACGTTTATTTTTAACAGATTTTCTCTCAACTGTATTGGTTTTCCTTGACTTGCTTCATGCAAAGCACTGCTGTCTGTCCTCTGAGGGAAATATATTCTTCTGCAATTCATGATGAATGGCTGATAGTAGCACCTAATTGTTGCTGACTTGAAGATAAATGATTTCAAATTAAATGTCAAGTGATACAAAACTTTTCTTAGAAGTGATCTTTTACAGATTCCTCTTGAGGAACAGAGACTTGGGACTAATTTGGAATTTTTTATTTTTAATTTGGGGATTTTTTTAATAGTACTTAAATTTTTTTTTCAGATAAATACATCAGAACAGACTAGCAGATACATTCATTGGGCAATTAATCTGTCTCACCCACTTTTCTTTGTGTCTTCCACAGTATAATCATAGAGAATATTTGGTTTTGACCTTCTTTGACTCATCTTGGAGTTAATTTATGATGAATCAACTGAACTGAGTATCTGAATCATCTGAGGACCAATTTCAATATCCCTTAATGTTTTATCTTTTGGTGTTGTGCAATCCACCATGGATTTTGTGCCATTAGATCTTATTTCATGAATACCTCCAGTCAAATTCCAATAATGTTGGTTAAAAGGGCACAATATAATGGAAGGTATATTAAATAATAGTCAAGACTCTCAGTCTACTTCTGCCTTTTACTTGGGCAAGTGCCCAAGTTCTATATACCCATTCAAATGAAAATGAAAATGTGTTGCTGAGCTCCATGCTTATCAGTCAAAAGAAGGTACTTACCAATCTGACACAGTTGTTTTATAAATCAAATAAGAAAATGAAG